GCATCATCATAGACACAATAAGTCGCAGTACAGTGTACACCCAATCGATGAACTCTCCAGCCCTGCTTCACCCGCCACTGGGTGCTGTGGATTGTCCAGCAAGAACTTCGACCAGAAGTCCGGGATGTCGTTGAGGTCAGAGACTATGGTGTGCAAATGCCCCGTGTCCACGATAGTTTTCATCTGGGATGAAGATCATCGGGGTTGGGCTACAGAGTTAACTACTTGTTTCATTCGTATCGATAGGATGCGGTATGCCGAAGGCTGACGAGGGACCATCTCATGCGGTAGAAGAAACGGCCACTCTTCATAAACAACAGTTGCATCGTCGGCAGAAACTCTCAAGGGTAGCCGCACAGAAGTGGTCTTTGCAGGCAACGATATGTCCATAGCTCTAGCCCTGTTGTGCACCTGAGGCTCCCTGACATTCCTCGGTGTTTTTCCGGACAATGGTTCAATAATCTAAACCCTAAACCCGATAACACCCTGTAAATGTTCGAGGCAAGTGTCCTGAGCAAGTCGCTTTCATAAATGTCTCCGATCCCACCAGCAGTCCGGATGGAGGAGTAGCCACGGCCAATGTTCTCGGCGATCCTGATCGGACACGGTGTAGAGTTGGTTTAGTCTAGGATTTAGGGTTTAGTGGGCCAGGGTTTTTTCGATGGTCAAGATTCGCAGCATCCAACCGAGATCTCGTAGTCGGCTCATCAACACCTGCGTAGGGGCTGTATAGTTAGCTCTCGTCTTTGTAAGTACCGACATGCAACACTACAATTGTGACTTCTGCAGTAGCTACACCCATCACCAACATAGCTGCGATCGACTTTTCCGTTGCATGTCTGGTTCGAACACATCTATCCCCACGTTGCAGGCTTCGCACGTGGCGCGTGTGCGACCCCAAGGCTGCATTGCTTCGGATGCAATAACAGCCGAATCGATAGAACCCTTTTCAAAATCATCCAGGCCTAAGGCCAGGGGCACCACCATGCCCAAGCAGATCTATCCCAGTACCGACTTCGGGACTACATACCGGGTTTAAAATCAAAAGGAGGGATCAAGGTTAAGGGTTTGGAAAGGCTTCGGATGTCCTAAGTTTGGGGATTTCGTCGGGTTCAAGCTTTAGGCCTTTAGGCTTCAAGCGTGGGGGGAAGATCATGGTCCAGGATATCTAGGTTGATCTAGGCTTGGGGTTTACGGCCTAGTTGAGGCTTC